AGTTTCCAAAGAGGCGGTACTTCAAAACACGTTATTCGCAGCAATATTTCACTTGGCTTGCCTATGGAAGCAACATTTATCATACTGACGAAACCCCAAGTACACTGCAGTTAGGCTAATAACCATTATGTTTGTTTGATTACATCTCTTCTAATCTGTTCGATTATTATGCTTTATTTTACACGATTAAATGTTATAAAAAAAATTCAACCAACATGAAGTAAAAAGAACTTATCAAAGAGAACAGAGTAAAAGGGTCTAACACATGAACTGGTCGCACAACGCGCGATACCAAAAGACTATGCTGATGTTTGGATAACGTTTTATTTTAGTTTTTCATTTGGATTTGAGAGGTGATTTAAAATGTAGTTTAGTGACAATTTTTTAAAAGTATTATAGTATATTGACTATTTTTTGAAAGTGGGATTGTACAGTGACCATACTTAAAACTTTACAATAGTTTAGTGACCAAATTTAAAACTTTACCATAGTTTAGTGACCACCGCCACTAAATTTTACAATAGTTTAGTGACCAAACTTAAAATTTTAAAATAGTTTAGTGACCATTGGTACTAAACTTTATAATAGTTTAAAAGATAAATTAAATTGATGTTTGGATAGTGTATTAAGATTTGTGTTTAAGAGGTAAAATGAGACAAAAAGTAAAATGAAACCACAAACAAACAAGGCCTCTTTTTTCTTAGTGCCACTTTCCAACCTAATTTAATTACAATAAGTTAAAGACATGATAACATTTAATACGTAGACTCAACCAATATATCATTAACCAGCATATGCATGTTAGTAAGTCAATATACTAAATAAAAAAAAAGTAGACTTCACCAATATGTCATTAACCAACATATGCATGTTAGCAAACCAATATACTAAATCCAAAAAATAAAAATCAATGGAAATATAACCGTAACAAATTTAACCGTAATATTATTTTTTTTTTTGCAGAACGCAAAATTTTTTTTTATTATGACTATTTCGCCTTCGAATTGAAAATTTTAACTATTACATTTTCATATACAAAATAATAATAAAAAAAAAGTTAATAGATGCATTGGTCACGCGTTCGGGAATAGGACTAAAGTTCATTTCTTCTGGTTTAAAACTAACAGATCTCTTCTTGACTCTTAGACTTCATTGTTACCATATGTGGTTAAGGCAAATAGCATTATCTATTTTCGATTTGAAGTGTCAATAGAAAAGATGACCGAAACTCTAGACTATAAAATTACAAGGACCGTCTTATTTAATAATTTATTATAAATAACTACACTTCTACATTTTTCATACTCTTTCATTTCATTATAAGAAAAGTGCAAAAATGTAATTCAATTCCGTCATACATGATTCAATAAAAAAGAATATATTTTTATAACTATTAATTGTCAAGATATATTAATATTAGCTATGTAAATGAGAAAATCTATATATCTATATCTATATACTATACTAAGGCAAAAACCAGAGAGAGAAATCTAAAGTCAAGGAGCACATGCCACATAGGATTTTCTTAATTTATCCTATGTGGCATTTTCTTAATTTTCTAGATATAAAAATGCACAAAACAAAACAATAAAAACCAAAAAAAAAAAACACACACACACACACAACTGAAAAAATCCAAACGCTTTATTGATTCGACCAAATCCCTGCAAATCTGATGGACGGATCTCTTCCTCCTTAAAAAAAAATACAACTGAAAAAGAATTTTATATTAATAACTGTTGGGGGTCAGTCCTGACCCATCTGGGCCGGCCCAACTTGCTTACAGACTTGGGCTCATCTTACAAGCCCAAGTCATCTATCTATTCATTCCTTTGGGTCCAACTGGGTCACAAGGAATTAATGCATGTATATTTACGTTCTTGCCCCTCTCGACACAGGGGCCCAAAGGTATTGTCCCATTGGGAACCTATAAATACTCCTTGTTCATTTATTGCTGGGTTAATTCCACACTCTCGTTTCTCTCTCTAAGTGTGACAATTACCTACTTCTCTCCCAAGAACTGACTTGACCTTCGGAGAGCTAACCTCCGTTTTGCAGGTTCTCGTCTAGGTCAGACCGTTGACTCTCCGCCCCCGGGATTTACGCTCGACAATAATTTATTAAAATAATTAAAGAAGTTAGGCCAACCTGAAACTTCTATAATTTAGCTTCAAATAAGGAATTGAGTTAAAATATTATGGTGATGGTTTGATGTAGCGGGGCTAAGAATGGCTCTGGCAAAAACTAGAGAGAGGAATCTAAAATTAAGGAGCACATGCCATATAGGATTTTATCCTATGTGATTTTTTTTTTTATTTTCTAGATATAAAAATGCACAAAACAAAACAATAAAAACCAAAAAAAAAAAAAAATACAACTGAAAAAATCCAAACCTTATATTGATTCGACCAAATCCCTGCAAATCCGCTGGACGGATCTCTTTCCCCTAAAAAAAAAACGCTACTGAAAAAGAATTTTATATTAATAATTTATTAAAATAATTAAAGAAGTTAGGCCAACCTGAAACTTCTATAATTTAGCTTCAAATATGGAATTGAGTTAAAATACTATGGTGATGGTTTGATGTAGCGGAGCTAAGAATGGCTCTGGCAAAGAATAAAAATATTAAAAGGCTTCAATTATGGCTATTTTTTCTTCTTCCTTTTTAACGTTTGAAATCTAAATTTTTAGTTTATCTTTCTTGAACCTAAATAGCAAAATGTACATACATTAGAAATAAATATACTAATTTATACATGAATCAACTACTACTCGCTAAGTAAGGAGGTCTTAACACTTGTGATCTCACAAAAATGGTCTAAAGATAGATAGAAAGAAAAATAGCTAAAAAAATGTTTGTTTTGTCATGCAGAAACGGAAGCAAGAAACGGCTTTGAATACTGATGAAATGGTTCTTCTTGAATGCTGATGAAATCATGATTCTAAGCGTGCTATTTGTTTCGAAATCTAGAATAGTTTGATTATTACCTATGTTTAGCTAATCTTGGTAATGAATTTCAAGTTTAGGTTGTGCTCATCATTCCATTCAAAATTTGCATAGATTTCTGATGCACACTACATTCCAACAATAGTACAGTGACTGTTGAATTGGTTATCTACTTAATTTTTTTTATTTCAATTTCTGTTTCCTAAAAAACATTTGTGCTTTTTAATAAGATAAATTTATTTGTCTAATCGTGTGTGACTGCTAAATGTTTCGTGTTTTCAACAAATATAAAGGGGTTTATGCGGCTAAATATTGGGCTCTTAATTTTTTATTCCTTTTTTTTCCTGAAAAGAAGTCTATATATATTATAGTAAAGCAAACTCTAGAGAGAGAAAATCTAAGGTATCGTATCATGCCACATATGACTAAATCTTATGTGGGCTATATATCGAGGTAAGTTGTGTTTTTTGCTCTCATTGAATCATTTTTTTTTAATTCATGCTTTAATTTCCGATTCCTATAAATTTTGTGTTCGTTTTATTTGTAATTTTATTTCGCGATTTAATACTCCGCTAATAGATCTAGTATTATAGGTGTTGTAATTGTGGATTTTTTAAAAAAATTTCCGGATTGATGGAGATTTCTAAGGTGTTGCCCGGGGGGGGGGAATGCAGGGGTTTAGAGGGGGTGGCGGGGGAATGCAGGGGTTTAGGGGCGGTGGGAATGCGGGGGTTTAGAGGGGGGCGGGGGAATGCAGGGGGTTTAGAGGGGGGGGTAGGTTTAGGGTTGGGCTTAGGGTTTATGGGGTGTTGGGCTTAGGGGGTTTAGGGTTTGGGGGATTGGGTTGGGTTTAGAATGTGGGTTTTGGCTTGGGGATTGGGTTGGGTTTAGAGGAGTGGGTTTAGGGGGTTGTGGGTTGGGTTGGGTTAAGAGGAGTGGGTTTAGGATAATAAAATTTAGGGTTGGATTTTTTAATGTATAGGATAAGAAAAAAGAATAATATTATTAATCTGTATTTACTAAAATTTAAGGGTTGGATTTTTTAATGTATAGGATAATAAAAAAGAATAATAATATTAATCCGTATTTACTAAAATTTAAGGGTTGGATTTTTTAATGTATAGGATAATAAAAAAGGATAATTAATATTAATCTGTACTTACTAAAATTATTTGTAAATTGTACTAGCCAAGGATATTGGATCATCTTTTTCCTCCCAATCTACCTCAAAGAAGCTACGGCAGGGACCCAGAGACAGTAGTTTGTTGTTTCTCCAAAACGCCCATAGGTCACACAATATATTCCATGGTGCACAGTATGATATAGGGATTTTGGAGCCCAGGCGCGTAGATAGCGCCGCGTGGAAATTAATAAAAGATGTACCGAGGTTGACAAAGGAATATATTGAGAAATTTGGTTTTGGACCGTTCTCTAGAGTTGGGTCCATAAGATGTGACCATGCCCTGCTTACAGCTCTTGTAGAGCGATGGCGCCCAGAGACCCATACATTTCATTTACCTTTTGGGGAGACTACTATCACACTCCAGGACGTCGAGGTTCTTTTGGGTCTTCGGGTTGATGGACGTCCAGCATCTGAGGACATCACACCACGCCCGATGGTGGTTGGGCAGCCTATTTGGAGAGGATGTTTGGATTTAGGTTCCAGACAGAGGAGTCTAGATTGACGAGCGTTTCCATCACCGAAATAAAGACTCACATAGAGAATAATCCTTTGACGGACTGTCCCCGACGATGCACACCTACAATGAGCCCGTTGTTTTGTTGGATGGCTCGTTGGCGGATTCTGTTCTCAAACACTACGAGAACAGCTTTTCCTCTCGATCTTGTGCATTTTCTTCATACTCCCGAGATTTGCTCGAGTACAGTTGGGGTAGTGCGGCACTATGTTACTTGTACCGCAAAGCATGTCCAAGTCATCTCTCGCCGCTTCGCAAGGCTATTACCGGTTGTGTGATTCTTCTTCGTATTTTATCTTTTCATTTCTCTCTAGTTTCATTTTATATTCTCCCATAATTATTGGTGATTTTAGCTAATGATTTCTTCATTCGAATTAGCTCGGGCACGGGAGCGGATTTTGACGGTTCAGCCCAAGATACTGGGTGGGGAGCTCGATCTATCTCATTGTCCATTGGGCACGAGGTAATCTTATACATCAAACCTTCGTAAATTTTGACATTTTGATTTGTTGTCATGTCTCAATTTAATGTTACTTTCTCCGTGCAGGTGGTCCCGTGAGAAAAAAGTTCAAGGTATCACGCGGTTCAATTTGGCCGCGTACCGGGATCAGCTTGCAGTTCTCGTAGAGTCTGATGTTAGTATTCTATTCAATTAGTATAACTTATGTTTTATTCATTTTTTTTAACGGTGCCGGACTTTTAATTACGCGTCTCTTACTTAATTACCATTGCAGTTTGTATGGATGCCGTACATGACTCTTCTGGGTCGTATTGCCAGGGTTTGTCTTGTGGGACAGGGCATATGGCGATCTCAGACATGGCTCATCTGCGGTGATGTCGTTGCGCCACACAACCCCAGTAGGGTATTTCACCAATTTGGTTATCACCAGTGGATACCCGGCGACGCATTACTTCTCGCTGTGGCGGAAATTACTAGCCTGCTCAAGAGGAAGCCGTTTGGAGGATCCGATAGGAGATGGTTACAACAACTAGGGATATATCTCTAGGTTTGGAATGATCGCCACGGCCGACTTGTGGGGACTGAGGATGATTATGTTGGCGAGCCTTCCGCAGATCCGAAGTATCTCTTGTGGTACCATCAGGTTACTGTGAAGTATGTTACGGATCCGACGGACTCTGAAAATGCGAGGGGTTTTCATGGCTCTGCAGAGACCTTGCGCCTCATGGCGAGTATTTCGCCTACAGTCCATTTGGTTCTTTTTATTAACATTGTTGTCGATTTATGATTCTTTCTAATAAAAATTTCAGGCCACATTGATGGAGGACGTTCGTAGTCTGAGTATTATAGGCCAGCGTACTTTCGACGCGGACTCCTTTGGTTATGATCGCTTAGGCGAGATTGCCCAGGTTGCTGAGCGGGCGTTGTTCGTCAATGCAACGGATGTTGTACGTCACGATCTCGATAGGCATGTTGAGGTTAATGACATTTTGAGTCAAGAACTTGCACCTGTAGACCCGACCCAGCAACATCCACCACCCAGACCTCCGAGGCGTTCGCGCAGGTCTCAGCGTGGGCGTGGGGGGCAAGAGACAATCACATCCACTCAGCCACATCAGTCCTCCCAAAGATCGCGAGCCTCATATTCCCTTCACCGGCGGTTCATCCCATCGGTCTCCACATCGATCTCCACTCCATTCTTGACAAAGATTCAGCCCATCGGTCTCCACATCATTCATCCCATCAGTCTCCACATCATTCTTCGCCGATCCAACAGGCGTTTTACCGTCCGATTATGTCTCCCCAGCACCAGCAGTCCCATTTTGCCTTCACTCAGTTTTCCTCCCCTCAGACTTCTCAGCGTCAGTTTGGAGATTCTTTTATTGACTTTTCTGGGTTTCAGCAGAGTTCGCTAGATGGCCAGTCGATACATTACACGAGTAACTTTCTTTCGGGTATGTTCGAGGGTGTTGCGGGTCAGCATCAGGCTGATGACCCAGCTGGAGGTGAACGTGAGAGTCAGGGTGAAGATGAGGCTGAGGATGAGGCTGAGGATACAGACCAGGATGATCAGTTTGAGGGTCAGGGTTATCAGCGCCATGAGGAGCAGGGATCGAGTCAGACTCTAGGGACTCCACCGTTGGCTGTGAGTAAAGGCCAGAGAGTGACGAAGGAGCCCGATAGATTGACTTATAGGTTTTTTCGGGCTAAAAAGCCCAAGAAGAAGTAGGGTACTAGACTTCTTATGTAGTATTATTAGACTTGTATTTTTTTTTTTCCTTTTGTTCATTTCTGTTTTTTTTCCTTTTGTTATGACTTGTTTTATTTTTTTTACCTTTTGTTATGACTTGTACTATTTTGTTATGACTTGTATTAATATTCTTAATAGTTTAATTTCACCTGCATCGTAAATATAATAATTAATATTTATAAAACACATCTTCGCCGATCAAATCGAAACACATCTTTAAACTTTCTTATATTTTTTTCATAATTAATAGTTGCTTCATCTTAAGCGTTGGTAAATTATAATAAATATTTACTAAAATTTATTCCTATTTTAAGCTTTTTTCTTATATTAAAACCATCATAATTAATAAAAACAATTTGTAAATTAAATTACATCTAATTAAATCCATAAAATTACGTCATTATCATTATTGAAAATTTTTCATATAAAATTATTTTATAAAATAATGATTACATTTTTAATAAAAAAATTTTAATATAATCATTATTAAATTTTTTTATATAATGTTCTAAAAATTTAATACATTATAATAACTATATCATACTTTTAATAATTTATATTTAGTATAGCTCTATTTAATTTAATGAGTATCAATTATAAAATTATATTCTTATTCAAAATTTAATTTTCGTATTATTAAAATTATCAATATAATTTTCCTCTTTATAGCTATATTCAAAATTTAGTGATTAACAATTATAATTTTAAAATTTTCTGTTACCATTATTCAAATTTAATAATTTTTTGAAGTCAATTTCCCTGTAACGTTTTAAACTAGTCAAATTAATCATATTTTTGTACCTATTTTCTTTTTTATTTAAATAAAATATTTTTTTAATTTATTTCGCGCTTTGAAAACGCGAATTGATATTTATTCAATTCTTTTACCATTAATTAATTAGGATTAAGTTAAATTAATTACGTCTTCTTATTTTTCGCGTTTCTAAAACGCGAAAAACTAATTTTAGCGTTTTCAAAACGCGAAATTTGATTTTTAGCGTTTTCAAAACGCGAATTTTGTTTTTTTCGCGTGTTTGAAGCGCGAGAAAACTATTTTTGGCTACAATTTAAACCCTAAGCTTATTTTGTTCTTCATACTTTTTTTCAGATATTAATAAGTAAATTTTCCGTTAGATAGGCCAGCCCTTCATGGGTCCCTAAATAAGAAGCAAGCCAGTATTTTCCTTCCTCTCAAAATCAATTGATTTCGTAATTCCCATTTCCATGGAGGATACATCGCAAAATAGGGTTTCTGAAAGAGGCGTCAATCCGATTAAAGAAGGAACGAATATTTACTATTCAGCCATTTATGTTTCTACCATCCTGGCAGATAGAGAAGCAGCAGATCTGGAACTTTGAACCGTTCTCGGCTTCGACAGACGGAGATATCGAGATCGGTCCAGCAAGTAGGTTACGACCTCTTTGCTCAGATCAATCATCCTCCTCGTCGTTCCCACGGGCGAAAGTTATGAGTAGCGCAGATTACAGAACCGCGGACGCTAATAGAAAAGCGTCCGCTGTAAAGCAGGCATCAGCAGAGGCTGAGTTTGTAGGTGCCGCCGGCGCCGCCGCTGAGGAAGCAGGTACCGATGGAAAAGAGGCTGATTTGGAGGTATCGGATGTGTGTGGAAAAGGTCCGGGATCATCGGGGTGGTCCAACAAGCACAAAGAATTATCTGACTCTGAGTTATCTGACTCTTTTGCTATGGAGTTGATAGAAAGTGGTGAAGGTGTGCAGTGTTGAGATATGGATAAATGGAAGACCTACTTCGACATCATGCATAGAAGCCAGGTTAGTTTAATTTAACGAGTTAATTACCGCATCATTGATAGCCTCGTAGTGCTTAATTCTAATTGCGTATTGCTGAAATTGAAATCCTGATTTCATTATGCAGTTGCCAAATACTCCCTCCGACCCATAATTATTGTCCATTTGAGTTTCCATTTCTAGTTCAAATTGTACTAAAAGTGAAATGTCAAACTGGACAATAATTTTGGGACCGAGGGAGTACATGTTATTGCTTGAACTTATGTAAACTCTTTTGTTATATCAAACACTCCCCAAACCAAAGGCCTCTCCATCGATTTGTTTTATTGCTAATTTCGGGGTTTAATATTCCAGGGTTGTGATATTATCAATCCTCCTGATAATAGCTACAAAGCAACGCTCAAACCATATAAATTCGAAAATGATGATGATGGTACAATCAAGCCTGAGATCCTTGACAAGGCTGATAAATGCATCCAACTTTACAACGAAACACATGGCCAGGTACCTATTTTTATTTACTCTTTATCTAAATATATATATTAGGGATTCGATTTGACCTCCCTGCGTGCTTGAATTTGTTCTGATTGTTATTCGTTATTGATGATGATGATAATGTCATTGTATTTAATTTTTATTACAATTGTGTATGTCTGCAGCAGTACCGGGTTTTGCATGTTTTGAACGTGACTGTTACCCCTCCAACTTCGCATTCTCTGTACAAAATTACCTTCCTGGCTTCTCCGGTGGATACTCCGGTGGGTGATCAGAGGAAAGCGAAAAAGTTTCTAGGTAAGTATCTTGTTGATCTATGTCAGGGAGATGAGGATGATAGTGGGGCAACGTTTTGCAAAACTAAAGATGAGGCTACCAAGGGTTTTGATGTGGATCTGCCCTGCTCCCTTCCTTGCTGGAGCAGGTATCACATGTACAAAAGCAATAGTCTCACATATCGGCAATACACCCGTCAGCGCCTTAAGGAGCACATGGGAGCAAGTTCTTGGGAGCACGGAGCACCCGCTTGGGTGCAAGAAGAGTTGACAGAGATGGAGTCCCAACTTGAGTTGGCAAAAGATGGAGGACCAAGTTGGTTTGCTTGGAGAGTAGTACTCTAGGAAGAACTAGTAGTATCTGGTGAACTTTTAAAAGGTTTGTTTGTCTTTATGAATGACTGAATGTTTATCAATGGATTATTCATTTTCTCCTTTGAGGTGACAATTCAAATGATAATATCAATTCCCGGGTGGATTGGATTGTGATAGGTAGATCAATGTGTAGTTTTTTGAGAAACCTCTTTGCCCCTCTTGGGAGCAAGAAGCGAAGCCTTGCGAAAGGAGTGGTAAGGGGTTTTCTAGGAGAGTGATTTCTGAAAGAGTGGTAAGGGGTTTGCTAGGAGAGTGATTTCTGAAAGAGTGGTAAGTGGTTTGCTAGGAGAGTGATTTCTGAAAGATGTCTTGAATTAGTGGTACTGTTGTGAACTTCTTTTATGCTTTTATCTATTATTAATAACCAGTGACTAAATGGTTTGATTAATGGATTATTCACTTGCTGCTTTGATGTCACAATTTGAATGATAATAATAGTTCCCCACGCCAATAAGAAAGAACTTGAGGTTATTAAGAACAGTCGTTAATGTTACACAAACAAAATTACACAAAGCACAAAACCTAAGGCTAGAGGAAGGTTTTTAATCTTCTATCTACACAACTATATAACCCACTTCCAAGGGTGATAGTGCAACCAATCACTTGTTACTAAGTTAAAGTGAGTCTCACCAAATCTTAACGAATTTTTAAACAATACCCCCATCCTGGAAGGCTGCTCCCAAGGAACATTAAGCAAAAGGGCGTAGACTGTAGAGGATCTTCTGAGCTAATAAGTTATTAGGGTGAAACCGATTTTTGGAGGAGCCATGAACCATAAAAGAAAATTGAGACGTTAATTAAGAGAGTAAAATTCAAAAAAAAATATATAAAAAAATAAAAGGAAAACATAAGAAATAAAAAAATATATATATAGAATGAACTCACATATAATTTCACTCGGCTCGAAGAAGTCTTGAATCGTTGAGGTTCATAATTTTTGAGATTGGATATCAGCCCGATAGTGTTCACCATGAACCATTCATAGTACCCCTCATATACTGAGCCAGGGTCTCCTTCCTCCAAATCTCGTAGCACGTATTCTTCTCTCCTATTCCAATGACGACGTACTGCGGAATGGTGATCCACCCAATTATTGCTAGGATACCCAGACATACTGTTGGCGTGATCAAGAAGTAATGTTGTGTTATCTTTAATGATAGAGCGCTTGGGAACATCCTGTATGTATCCAAATTATCTCACAACTCTACCCGACTCATGGGGTTCCCTAATAGCCCAACAGGACATCCAACACCTGGTCGTCTAAATGATTTGGCCTTGTTTACAGAAATCAGGGAGTTTATGAAGGACCTTTGCATATGGTTGCCACCGAAACTACACGAAAATAATTTATTTAGATGGTATAACCGTAACGAAAAGAAATTCAAAATAAATATAAATACCAAATTAAGTACTTACATCTTCAACACACAGGCTTGTTAATTGATCTCTAAAAGGTGGGGTGCTGCTCCTTGGGGCGTCTCCGTAGGTGTACTTACATTCCCACCTTAATGAACAAACACAAAGGAGTACATTTGAATTAGTAAAAAAGATGAATAAGAAACAGATAGAAATAAACATTGAGTTATTTTAAAATGAAAATAAGTACCGCTGAGCTAATGGAGCGGTCTCATCAATCAAATAATCTACTCTTTTTCTTTGTGGCGAGATTTTCTCGATTTGCTCATACGCCCATACCTAGTAAATTTCAATAATAATGTTAAAACTTCAAATTATAACATCGAAAGTTAAAAAAAAATTATAACACCAATTGAAAACTAATACGTACCTATAGTAAATATAGACAGCCAGTGGCGTCGTTCATGGTGTATTGTGATGCCTCGCACAGTCCAGAGTACAAACCAGCCAGCAGTGCCAATCCCCAAGTGTATCGACTACACTGATCCAAATCCTCAACCTGGGCCAACAAGAACTGCAGATTGACAGTGTTTTGCGTCTTGTTAGGAAACATGAAACTGCTAATAAAATGCAGTATAAGTGTCCGGGCCCTTTGCTCGAATCGCTGGACTGTGGAATTCTCAGGGAGTGCACGGCCCATCTCATCCTCAAAAATACCAACATTGACACATTGGCCATTTACTTGGGCTGGTCGGAATCTCAAATAAGTCTCACATCGATCCCGCCATTCATCTACACTCCAGCTAACTGTCGTCCCGTACACCAGGTCACCATCCACCCGAATACCAAAGAGGAGCTCGACATCCTGTAGTGTCACAGTCGCCTCTCTGAAATTGAAATGGAAAATGTGGATTTCTGACCTCCACCGTTCCACTAACGCGATAATGAGGCCGAGATCCACTCGTTTGTAGCCTACTTTCATTATCCCCTCAAAAATGGCTCTCTTAATGACTTCCTTAACCTCCAGTGCCGTTTCTTTGTATATCCCCCAAAAATCGCCATCATATCTACAGCCCTTGAGGCGAAATGTTTTAATGTCCAACATCTTGTTCTCATAGACAGCTTGGGACCTATGCTTTGTTTGACGATATAGCATTTATCTTGTATCGGCCCCGGGTGAAGATGTTTAGGTTGATATTCATATTACGAGCCCGATCCCTCCTCCGCTATTTCAATCCTACACAAGGCAACCAAAGAAAACATCAATGCCCTAACTCATTATTTGGCCAAATTCAACACAAACCAAACTAATACACAATATCAAAACAACTAACACCAATACAACTAACACTATATCAAAAGAACTAACTATATTGCAAAATAACCAATTTCTAAAACACTATAATGCAGGAAAAAGCACTATAGCTATAGCTAATTAACTATATCAAAATACAGTTGTATAACACAACTATATCAATAAACTATAGCTACACCAAGTTCTGAAACAACTAACTATATCAAAACACTATAGCTAATTAAGACTTGTATAACACAAAAGAAATAATCATGACCTGAAAAACAAAACTAGGAAAAAGCCTAAATTAGAACTAACAAAGAGTACCATTGACATTATTACTCATGGAACATCATGCACCAACCTAATTTCACAGTGCATTCCAACACTACACTAATCAAATAGCTACACTAATCAAATCCAACACAAACCAATTGAAATTGACACACCACAACAATACACATTTGGCAAAAAAAAAACACTACATTTCGGATTTTTGAAAAATAAAAACTTAAACAGTTGAAAAAAACTTACCGGGAGTATTTAAATGGAGTCGCCGGGATGAGTGGAGGGAGTCGGCCTTGTTGAATGGAAGGTAGCCGGGAGGAGTGGATGGAGTCGCCGGGAAGAATGGAGGGAGTCGCCAGGAGGAATGGAAGGTAGCCGGGAGGAGTGGAGGGAGTCGCTGGGAAGAATGGAGGGAGTCGCCGGGAAGAGTTGCCGGGTTTAGTTTTAGGTTTTGGTAAACCGGGAATTGGGGGAAATGGGAGGGGGGCGAGTTGACCGGCTATATATAGTCCCGTAAAACTCAGATTTCTGAAATCCAAAAATACAACATCCGGATTTCAGAAATCCGAATCTCTCCTGTTTCTCCTGAAATTGAACACTCTCGGATGCTTTCCTCAATTCGGATTTCGGAAATCCGAGACCTTTGCTGCAGGAAATTGACCTTGTTTCGGATTTCTGAAATCCGAATCTCTCATGTTTCTCCTCAGATTGCATACTCTCGGATGCTTTCCTCAATTCGGATTACCAAAATCCGAGACCTTTGCTGCAGGAAATCGGCCTTGTTTCGGATTTCTGAAATCTGAATCTCCCCAGTTTCTCCTCAAATTGCACACTCTCAGATGCTGAAATCCGAATCTCCCCAGTTTCTCCTCAGATTGCACACTCTCATATGCTTTCCTCAATTCGGATTACCGAAATCCGAACGTAGTACAAATTGCATAAAGCCGGATTTCGGAAATCCGATTTCTTTGCTGCAGGAAATCGGCCCTATTTCGGATTTCTGAAATCTAGACGTAATACAAAAAGCGTACTTTCGGATTTCGGCAATCCGAATCCTATACAAAACCTTAAAATGAGCATTTTTGTTTTTTGCACAATCCCAAAACCTGTTATGAACAACTAGTATCTGTTTCATCACAATCACAACACCAGCAACAACAATTTAATGTTAACATTACAATCCGAACAACTCAATGTTAACATTACAATCCGAATTTATCAATACAAATATTTATAGAACATATATTTAAACAGTTGTCATTCCAAATAACTTGCAAGAATACTAAATGACTCTCAATTCCAACTGTCATTCACAGGTCTTCTATCTACTCCTGGGTGCGAGTTAGGACAAGAATTGGTATCATGACCTTGTTGTCCACATCTCCAACATTCCCCCTGGCTCTTGCGTCTACTGTAAACTATTTGCATTCTATGTCTTTTTTTTTTGTCTTCGTCCCGGTCCCGCGTGCAACACAAGACGCTCATAATTCGAAATGATGTTCCAATTGACCGTCGGCCATTGTTCCTCATCGGGAACCGGAACAAAGCCCGTGTAATCAAATTGTCTGCGCCACGCTGAAAGGCACCACACACTATGGTATAGATCAATAGGCGGATCCCCTTTTCTCCGGCAAACTTGGAGTGCGTCCGTACAAGGCATCAGGTACTCTTGCCACTTCTTCCACGAATACCTATGTTCCCCCCTTGGAAAACCACCAATGGACATGTTGTTTCCAAACTCGCTTCTCTTTCTTCGTGAGTGATATCTTCCAAATATATGTATAAATCCAAACATGACATTGGATCTACACGGTTCATGAACTCTACATGTGAATCATTCTTGATACACGCTTACCACCGGGACTATCGAAAATCAAAGAAAGATGAAGTTTCACGTGTACTGGATCCCAACCAAGTGTCATACAAATCTTATTAATCAATCCCTCATATGTAATATTAAGAGGCAAAAGGACAAAACAAAAGAAAGTGGAAACAAATAAGATTCAACTGCAGGTATTTTTGCGAAATAAAA